TGACGACTAGGTTTTTGATTATCGAAATGGATTCTTTTCACTATATGCAATGGAAATATATTCCATCTCTGGCTCATTCCATTATTCCATGCTGGGTTGTTCTATGGAAACACTGGAAAAAACATACACTCTTACATTTATTGAATATCAATGAACTCATGATTTGATTAAATACTTAGAATGCATTCTGAATTCATAGTAGTTATATTCTGTTTGTCGCGACTTACACGAAATGGAGTGCTAGTGGAATACCGATAAAAAACGGACAATATTCAGGAGTGAATTACCTATTTACAAGCTTCTTAATTTTAATTCAAGCACAAAAATCAACTAACAAGTCATTGTTCGTCTACCACGTGCTCAAGGCATTTCAATATTCTTCGAAGAAAACAAAACAAGTTGGATGTGCTTTCTGTATAGGCGTCCATTTATTCTGTTGACTGAAAGAACCGTTCAATGATAATTTTACGATAATCCTTGGATTGCTTCATCGAAAACTGAAATAATTATGAAACGTACATACTGGTGGGCTGTCTCTTCTTACAGGTAATGTGTGAGCACTTGATATTGATTTTGTTCTTTGTTCCAACCACAATGAGACAAAAAAATCATGCATGCTGTGTTAATAAAGTACCTCCCCCTCCTAGGTAACTGTTGAACCGTTGGGATATGTTTTATTCTCTTTTCGCTTGCTTCAATTGATAGTTCGAGTGCAACATAGCTCGATCGAGAAACAGAATTATCGTTCAAAATGTCGCCTGGGACGTCACTTTTGGAGTTTTTCCAAATGGAATGGGGATCGAGTGATACCTCATCTGGAACTGCTTCCAATACCCTTCGTGACACCAGAATTTCGAACAAAAATATTCATCAAAAACAAAATGGTGGATGATTACAAGGATTCTTTCGACTATCTACTGAATTGACTCTCTATTGGCATCTATATAGTATTGTTTTATATTCAGAAATTTATCAGAAGTGAGTGATCTTTTCCAAGCTTGCATGGAACTGTAATGAATTCCTGGGTGCTAACAACAGAGTTACTTTGCTATGGGTAGCCGTATACCAGATGAAGTTGCCATCCTATCCGAAAAGGAAACCGAATCTATGTTCATATATATTTATACATAGGATAATTGGATGAGAACCCAACTTTGGAGTCATAGCCAGAACAAATAAGTTTCTGCCCAACCAATTATCATCAGGCAGATCCTCAGAGCTTACGGGACATTGTCATCCAAGATACTTCCTATATAGGTAGGATGATAGGATGGGTCTGAAAACAAACAGACCGTCGTTCCTATTCTAGGGAGAACGAAATAACTGAAAACATATAGGTATGTTCATGCTTGTGAATCTTGATGCTTTGGGAGGCTGAGGTTCAATAATTTTCGTTTCACCGATTCCAGGAAAATCTATAATTTATATCTTCAAACACTCCCCTTGGTATCAAAGCACAACCTATAGTCAATCAGAACCCTCTAAGGGCTATGAGTAATCTAATTCCAGTTCCCTCTGTGAATCAAGCAGCTGCCTATTGGGACGTCTATCAGAAAAAAAAATGTTCTTGTGAAATTGAGACTTCTTTACAATAATAATTGATATACTACATAACATTTGTGAAAGGGAATTTGAAAAATTTTACCGATTAGGGATTTTATATTTGAAGAATATGAATCTTCCTGCATAGACATTCTTTCATATCCACATACCGTATTAACAAAAATCATATATTTTCAAAGTTTTCTGGGAGTTATTGAGGAAGGACTGTCTCTAGTAGCTCACCCAGTATATCCTTTTATATAGGTGTATTTATGAGTAGGCATCTCTCTCTGTTACATACCTGCAAAATATCTAGTCATTTGCAGTTCTCTACTGAATCAAGGCATATCGGGTAAGTGGCGTTTAAGGATTACGACACATAATAACATACTTATTCGAAATATATTCGTCATCGATAGGTTGCACTCAGAATAACAAAATGGATGACAATTCGAACGTGTTCGTTCACCATGTTTGTGTCTGTCAACGCTGATGAATATGAATATGAGTGATTTTTCAAAGGATCATCATTTATTTTCATGAACTGCTGCTGAAAATTGTTATACTTATAGGTAAGAAATACAGTAAAGTATGTCATGATTTTAGTGTTCTATTACAGTCATCCGAAAAGAGTTGAGGTCATGACTTTGAGAATAGCGTAGCATCTTGGTTTCACATCATATAAGCAACAACATGCTTTACAGGGTGGCTGCTATTCGAGCCTCATAATTGGGATCTCGTAAACCGTAAGGGATACAGGGTCGGTAGAATTATGTAAAAGTTGCGGATATATACCTACGAAAAAAAGAACTGGATTTCATATACAACCTTTTCATCGAAATGAATGACACTTCATCATGACCACTTTTTCTCCTCTACAAGTTCACGTTTTTAAATTCTAAATCGGACGTTACCTCTTCCAGAAATCATCACCAAATTATTAATTTTTCCGCACTTTAAGATATCCCAAAAGCTATGAGTCATCACAAATTCCCATTTTTCAATATTTTCTTCACAAAAACGACAGTTTCGTATTGAATCAAATTATTATTATAGATTTTTCAATCATCATGTTGACCATGCAAGATTTTGCGCATATGCAACAAATACCTATGAAAAAAAAAATTAAAATCAAAATCAATCCTTCATTGATGATTTCTACAGGTTCTGGAATAGAAATGCTCTTCCGAAATATTTTCTCAACAGTCTCAACAAACTCTGTTGCTGCTAGCGACAGCTTGTGCCAGTTTTCTGAAGCCAGTCGATACAGCTCAAAGTTCTCTGTGAGGTGCTGGGTTGTGGTATCAACATGTGATGAGAGATGTCGCTATAGTTCTCAAATCGCTAGGTTTAAAATCATAGTGATCGTATAAGGGATTACCTGCCCTTATTTTTTTTCTTATTGGTCAGTAGGGAAGAATAGTGGTAGTTCATTTGAATTATAATCATTCATAATGAAAAGTCTGAAATCTATATATCTTTGAAGAAAAGAACTGTTAAAGCATGTTAAAGTGTAGGAGGAGAGTCGTATTTTGTGGTTTCAGCCAGGGAAGTATTATTTCTCAAAAATTAATTGAAATTACTCTGCTGAAGGTATTTATCGAAGATGCATCTGATGATGGACTAGCCGGATATAGCCGTTACGAATGGTTTGACTATTTTTTTTTTCAAAGCCAAACAACACAAAGAAAAGTGCACTAGAAATGGCCAGTGCTCTAACTCCTGAATTATTGGAGGTCGAATTCTGAAATTTGGTGGGTAGTAATAAGTATACCAAATCACCTCTTATTGACAGAATACATTTATCTTTATCACTTACGGTTCAACCTGAAACATCGACAAGTTTTGAGTTTCCAATAAAAAACCCTAAATATTTCGACATTCAGATCAAAAAGTTTCTATAATAGTGTGTGTTAAACGATCCCATGAATTCAAATATGTAATGATATACCGGGTGTCCTATTTGAAAATCAAAAGTTGTGGTTTTTTTCCGGTTGAATTGAAAGTGGCAGAACAAACATTTGATCAATTTCGTATATTTCCTACCACCAAATTTCAGAATACGATCTCGAATGATTCAGTAGTTACAGCAGTTGCCGTTTTTTGTGTACATATCTCGTATTTACAGGGCGGTGAGTCAGAATAATAAGACTGACATATTTGTATACAGATTTCTAACTTCCTTTTCAGGTGTAAAGTTCTCATCAACGTATACCGCGTGTTTCAAAAAACCTGACTTCCTTGCTAGGGTAGAACACTGCAAAATGAGTTAGATTTGCTTCGTAAAAAAAATTTCGGAACGGCATCCGTTTTTAAGATACAAGGTGTTGAAAACATGTTTGTTTTCACACATTTTTAACGATTATGTTGGAACTGCTGGCAAGATTGTAATGAAACTTTGTAGGGATGTGTTTTGGAAACTAACACATCGAATGAACTCGTTTTTATATCTGACTCTCATATAGGGCGCTAGTTACACGGTTCGTTACCAAGTAGTTTTGAACATAATATTTTTGAGGTTAGATTTTTCAACCCAGATTTGAAGTGAACTTGTACGCCATTCAATTTTACACCAAAAAAGCACTCTTGATGAAACTCAAAAATGGGATATATAGGATGTCCAAAGTACAAAAAAAATTAGGTTTATAGGCCAGGTAGCCGTGTGGACAGAGTGTCACTATTCTAATCCGCATTCGCTTTCCTGTCGTTGGTTCAATTCCCATTGCAGCGACTGCAGACATTTTTGATGATTACTTGAAGTTTTCATTTTTGAATTTCGTGAAGCAGTGGCGTAGTTACGGTCGTATATCGCCTCATTTTCCTCAATGAATTTTCTTCGATAGATGAATTGTTTAATTGGTATATCTTTTCAGGCCCATTTTTTGATATCTAACCTGAAAGTAAAAATATCACACATGCATGCCTATAACAGCTTAAATGAAGAGGTTCCTGAAATATTTGTGAAACACTAAAAATATTTCTTGAGGTAATATAACTACGTGTTCAAGAAAAAAATTGTTATGCTGAATTCTATTCACATATTCAACTGTTGAGCTTCTTCTGAGTCACCCTTACTATATGTTTTCAATGTTCTCAAAAATCGAAAACATACAGGAGGTTGACAGTTTTCTTGATATCCCTTGAAAGATCAGCATGATTCGGTTATGGAACGCAGCAAATTCACAAGTTTTGTTACATTTAATGCCTCAAAAATTCTGGGCACTTCATTATCGATTAGATGTTCTAATTCTAATTCTATTATTATTATCAGTTGCTGTGAAATTATTTTGATGAAAATATAACTACAACAACTTCCTGCTCCATAATTACCTATCATCAGAGGTAAATCATCTGGAATCTAAGAAGATTGCAGTGACAATATGAAATCGAAGAGATTCGTTTCATACGGGGTTTTCTCGAAATGTTATCACAAAATCATAAGTAGTACCATAGATCTATTTAGATCTATGGTAGTAGGTAGATGTTCCTTACGTTGAGTCATCCGAATTTTTCTCTGCCGGTGCCACAATGAATTTATTTTATTGCTTCAGATAATAAGGCATAGGTATTATACTTATACCGAGACTTATACTTTTCCAGTAGAAATTCTGTTAGGTACCTACTATAACGAAGTGTACAGAGTTGACCAGGTATAACTAAATATTAAGATCAATTGATAAATGTTCATGGACTCGAATAAGCATGCAGTGTTCCTTCCTTGTTATCTGTTATCCCTGTTATCTGATATTGAGTGACTGAAGCGTTTATTTATCCTTGTAGAATTGTTGTAGAACTGTGAATGCAGAATATGACTTATGCAGGATCTGAAACAAATAAGGATATGGAAGTCTTGTCCTTCGTTCTGTTTTTATCTCGAAACAACGAACCCCCTAGCAGGATAACCATAACAAATATTCTGATGCTAATATAAATTCGCACAAAAAGCATAATATTAGTTCCCAATCGCAGCCAGTGTTGTCATGCCGCCTAAGTTGAAAGTGATCAATGTCACGTCATCTTCATTTTCTATATATATGTTTATGAGCCGCATTTGATATGATAACAATCATCAATCGATGTGATTCATAAATATTCTGGTCATCTTGTCGAGGGCTTCAGTTTGTCAATATCTAGTTTATTTTACTAGGCAGAAAAGTAGTAGATTGACTGCCTCGGCTGATAGTTCATAGCCGAGCGTAGCGCAAACTATATCTCCTCTTCTGCACATATTGAACAATAAACTTTTAAGCATTTATTGAAGTCTCTATCTATGGGTAAATGTTCAAAATTACCCCAAAGAGCGCGTGTCCATATATATAACCAGAACTATCGCCCAACTAAGGACATGCAGTAAATCGTCCTTCAGAATCACCTTCAATCGAATAGTGTATAGAATAAATACTGAAAAAGAATGTATACTGTTTGCAATCTCCACAGACCGAAAATTTTGGAACACATTCTCTTTGAATGTCCAGTTTATGCTGGTATCAGGAATTGTCGATTATTTTGAGACATTGAATCACTAGAACTAGATGATCTGATATGTTTTCTGAATTATGGTTGCCTAGCTAACTTGAAACTTCTAGTGCATATAGATATTCGTGAATGAGTAATCTGAATATCAATTATTATTTCAATGTCTTCATTGAATTAAATCAAGGTCACGCAGAAAGAATTTTCGGTTTAGCTATCATAGTTCTCATGTGTTGATTCATCACAGATTACCCATTGTAATAACAATCGTAATTTTTAATACAATAAATCTATCTATCTATATATTTATTTATATATCTACTTAAAAGATCAATTGACTTACCTGTTAAGGAAAATTGATCATAATTATATGAACTGAACTGGGCTGGTGGCCGTGAGCGTAGAGTCGCTGGCTGTTGCCCAGGCGGTCCGGGTTCGATCCCCGGCGCGAGCACTGAATTAATTTTCGGTAGTTTCGTTGGGCGGGAGGAGATAGGTGGCCAACCCAACATTCTTGGTACCTAGATATCAATCCTTTGGACTGTCCACGGTTACCAGCCGAGTAGTGCTTCGGATGACACTTAAAAAGCTAAGGTCCCCGTCTTCTTAACTCACACAAGTCTCTGACTTTCGAGGGTTGCTTTGCAACTAAGCTGGCGGTTAAAAACACTTTTAAACACTTTTTTTTAAACATTTTCGTCGAAGAATTATAAAAATAACCACTTGTAGTCGTTCCTTTCGACTCTACTAGGTACGAAGTTCAAAGACAAATTTTCAACATCCACCCTGATACCTAACATTCCTGTGCCCAACCGATACCGCCTAGCAGCCGATAGTCATTTCTTGAAAGTATTGCTGGATCGTCAGGGAGGGATCGAATAGGGCGGGAATTTATAATTCTTCGACGAAAATGTTCATATAATTATGATCAATTTTCCTTAACAGGTAAGTCAATTGATCTTTTAATTATATTTCACATTTTCGTCTCGAATTATAAAAATAACCACTTGTAGTTGTTCAAAGAGGTCAGACGATCCAGCCTATGAACGTCTGAGACCTGTGCGTCACAATCTATTGAAATACATATCAAGTATTTCATGTAAATAAGCGAATTCACAAAATATGGAGTTATCGTGATTCGAAACTAAGTCTATTGGGAATATCAATAGGTCTGGTCAATAAAATATTGCAATTAACCATACCTAATACTCGCTTGCTTCAATATTTCTTAAAAAAGGAAAAACAGTTTGAGGACAATAATATCAGTCTTTTAACCTCGACTTATATATAACCCATAACTTAATCATCGTTAACTACTGAGCCAGAAAGTACTCGCAAGGCAAGTGCTTTGGTTATATATCGAGTTATATGTCGTATCGTAATCGTATAGTAGTGGTGACGAGACAAAGTTCAGGTTTCTTTTTCAAAAAAGGGCAATAATAACACTGGCTGATTTCTTGACCAGTCAGTAGTCTTGTCCACTCTATCATTTACCTGTATAATCCCTCTCAGTTTCAAGTTACAGATACAATTTTTATAATCAAATCTGAAAAACTTTCTAGAGGATAAAGTGTCCAAAGGTTAATCAGTTAGAGGCCTTCTATTGAAACTCCTCTTGTAGAGGCTTTCAAGGAGCAGGCTATCGCTTTCGTTCAATCGAAGAATCAGAAATGAAGCTGACTTATATGAATTCATCAGCGAGAATGATTTATCTTGTTTATACTGCTGATTTAAGAATTCTAAAATGTTATTGCGAACCGGATCATAAAGATTCTGCTTGTTATCTTGACAATATCTGCTTCAAATACTCCTCTGCCACCAGGGTAGTTTTTTTCCATAATGAATGAGTTGATCTGAAAGGGGGCAAAATAAGGTCACTTTTCGGCTTGTAAACCAAGGGTGGACCTTCCAATAATTCAATGAAAGTTGAATACCAAGGTTGTGAGGACTATTTTGGAGCTACCACTATTCCTCTTGCTCTCTTTCTGATTTTTGATTGTTTTGCCCAACCTATAAGGTATAATCGCAAATGGAGGAAAAACCTAGAAGGAAAAGTGTTTCCTATTGTTGGTGAATATGCATCCACCTTCTAAGAATCATCTGGCTTCCATGACATAAACTTTCTACATTTTGTATAGACTGATGAATCGGTTTAGTATATTTCTGGAGAGCCTAGTTATTTCAAAATAATATCAAAATATTTTCCTGGCAATTCATATTCTGTTTCAATTGAAGTGCAGCGTGATTTGCTGACGACCTCAGTATCTTGTTCCAAATTTATAAATGAGGCAAATATCCAAATCTGTCTATCTTACTACCATTTGAGTAGTCTCCTAGCCAGTGAGAGATACGTCAGAAAAAATTCACAACATGAAAACTATTGTTTCGTATCGGCATTCTGTTTCTTGAAACAGATTCTGATCAACAATAATTGAAATCGACTAATATTCGAGTGTAAATGGTCATGACATCGTAGCCTCATGGTTGAAGCGTCAGTATTTTATCTGGATTGCCGGTAGGAGGGTACGATTCCCACCACTCCCCAAAAAAATTTCTGATGGCCTAAGAGAGTGTTTGGGATCACACGTTAAAAGGTAAGACCCCCGTCATTCCTTGCTCGCACAATTCTCTTAAAGACTTTTGAGGGTTGCTCGTAAAGAGGCAACCGAATTATGGATGAGAACCTTTTTTATTTTTATTTTTTTTTATTTTTTTATTTTTTTATTTTTTTTTTTTTTTTTTATATCAAGAAGTATTCCAATATAATTTGCAAATTCCCTGATTTGACAAGTATTGTTAATTTGAGAAATATGGATGATTTCCATGATTTGAAGTATTGGTGATTTTCATTTTATGTGTGAAATTTCTAATTTTGTCAATTCTTTCTCCAGGTAGTGATATTTTCATGTCAGTAGTATCAAATGAAATTCCAAGAAAAGTACACATCAGGCAAGGAGTGAGATGGTACACATTAGTTAAAATTAATTTTGATCCCAAAACACTAACAATCTTATAACTGTCCTAGAATTCTTCTGACACTCCATATAAACTCTCTCTTGCAATCACTACTATTACTATAGTATGTCATCTAGATGAATTATACATGTGACAGGTAGCAACTTTCCTAAATTTTTATTATTTTTAAGACAGGATTCATCGACTCAGTAAACACATGTGGTACTATAGAGCGATAGATGTATAGAATGTCGAGGTGAAGAGGCCCATTGGGAGTCAATCAATTGATAATTTTTGCTTTCAAATTTAGAACAGATATTTTCGATCTATCTCTCTGAAGATACAGAATATTAAGCATCTTTCAAGTCTACTTTTGTGAGATAACAATTATTATGTAGAAGCTTCGTCACTACTGTTCGATAATCCTCTAGTATAAAGTATAGAATTGTACTGAGGTTTTTCAGGTCTAGTATGAACCAGTGAGTTATATTTGATTTCTTGGCGAGGAAATATGAGGAGAGAAGAGATTCTTCCCTAAGGCCAATTATTGAAACTGTATCTATGCTCAGCAGCTTATTTATAGCCTTTCTCATCTCAACCAAATTTATTTCCTGCATGGAAGTTATTGGCCAAAACTGTTGGTAAGGTTTCTTGGCAAAATTCATTTGATAACCCTGCACCTAACTCAAAATGGGAGAATAATTGGTTGAAGCTTTACAATTTCTGATTGGTACAGTAATGGACCCTGTACTGCTGCTCACCTTTGTTGAAATTGTTCCTCTGTTTCGTTTAAAGCCTGATATGTTGGCGGTTATCAAAGTAAGAGGAAATAACGGCTTCTTGAGCAGATGAGCTCCTATATTCTTCATATCTCGATTGTATTTTACTCATGTAGGCATACGCCCCGAACAGTAGCTCGTCAATAGGCCCCTCCACACATATTTTTTTTTTTTTTTTTTTTGGTGGTCAAGTGCCGCCGATGTAACGATATGGAGTAGGAGGCATCAGCCAAAAGTTTAGTCCCATTGACATATTTCCCAAAATTTCATTGGATTCGTTTGTATTGGCTGCGAATACAATTTTTAATTGGGTCTAGCTAATGCAGAAAGACCCATTACTAGCTATTACTGTGAATTGATGAGGAACTCATTCAACAGACCTTTCCGGAAGAATGGATTGGATTTCATCAGGGTTGAGCCTCATGGAATCATTACCTATAACAATCTTTAATCGGAGGATACTTGGTAACCATTTCAGCTCTGGACTCTTGACGATTCCTTCAGTGAGGAAAACCTTTCCACCTCCTGTAATTTCTTTGTGGATCTCCGGTCCAAAAAGAGGCCTCAGAATCAGGATTTTTTTCCAGAGAAGTAACTCTTCAGGAGGATGAGCTTATGTTAATTCTCTCTCTGAATCTTGCTGGGGATCCTCACCAGGAAGCTCAACTGGTCGATTCTCACTTTCGAAACAATTATATATGATGCGAGTGTGAGTTGCTCCAGCTACTGCCACTGGTCGTGGAGTCTAGTGTAGGAAAAAGAGACAAAAAAATAATTGAGCTCTGTCTACAGTATATATACCTCATATATTGTGAATGTGAGGCTCGGATGAACGGAGGAGTGAGGTTCCCCTCTCCCCCCCCCCTTTTTTTAGTTTGACACAATCAAGTATATATTATTATGTATACCGATAAGAAAAATATATATATATATATTTTTACCTGTCAATATTGACTAGATATACCTGCCACGTAGTGACATTAACAGAAACAAGAAACTCACAAGAAACTGTTCATTAATCAGCTGTGCACATATTTATTAGCTCTTCTCAGGCCACTCTTGGACAAGTCTATAGTAGCGGCGCCTCGTATGAGTGCCTGTATTGTATATATGTAAGCGATATCTTTTTATTGCTACGCCATTTCGCCATTGAAGCTAGAATGTGGTAAAGATGCTTAGTCAGGAAATGTCAGCAGTCTGAAGTCGAACAGCGTTGAATATTGAAAATACGAATAATAAAATGACTTTGTAGTTAATTCCATCATCATTAGGGATGATTGCCTCTTGTATAGTTAACATATTTTTCGTTCTATCCAGCGTTTGCCGGATGTCTATAACAAAATAACCAAACCCTGCATTCAGTTGATAAACAAGGTCATAGTACCGTAGCGGCGCCTCGTATGAGTGCCTGTATAGTACATTTTTCATTTTATCCAGCGTGTGCCGAATGTCCATAATGAAAAAACCAAACCCTGCAGTCAGCTGATAAACAAAGTTATAGCACATTCGCTATAGTAGCGGCGCCTCGTATGAGTGCCTGTATAGTATATTTTTCATTCTATCCAGCGTGTGTCGGATGTCTATAATGGAAAATCCAAATGCTGTCGAATCAAAACTGAACATTCCTATCATGCTTTGTGTGTCCACCATTCCTCAATTTCCACCTATGATGTAATTAAGTAATGTGTAGGTACTTACTCGATAAACTACTAAATATTTCTTGGCACATCTAATTTTCTTCCTCAATTTGGGTATCTTTCTATAATTTTTCGTTGATTTTCCACTTTTGCCCATGATTAGGTACACTTTTTATCACGTTACTAAAAACTAAAACACCTCTAAATCAACACTTGTCTCTGAAACGTTCATACCCTAGCGGTACGAAAAGAACAATGACTATCGGCTGCTAGGCGGTATCGGTTGGGCACAGGAATGTTAGGTATCAGGGTGGATGTTGAAAATTTGTCTTTGAACTTCGTACCTAGTAGAGTCGAAAGGAACGACTACAAGTGGTTATTTTTATAATTCGAGACGAAAATGTGAAATATAATTATCTATCTACTTCATAACCACAGTGTATATGTGTGTGCTGAAGCTTAAACTTACCGTTGCAAGTGTTCGAACATTCAGTGGAAAAAAATTACCAGCTCTCAGTATGATCGGCTTCTTTACTCTTTCCATGAATATAAACAAAAGCTTCCTGAACTTCACATCTGCTGCATACCACTTTGTCATATAGGAACTGGTACTGATTTCAACACTCTGAAATTGATAAATCAATGAATTGTAGGCAATATGTGTACTGTCAATATGGACTTTCAGTCCAATGAAATGGTATTTGCACGTGGAAAAAATTCAAGTAGTCAATTTCTCTTCGGTTTTGTGTGTTGTAGAGGAAGCCTAATCTGAATCTGAAGTTTGCAAACAAAATTTCCTCGAGAGTGCCGAAATATTCGAAAAAAAAAAAGTGCGCCTTTCCCAGTTTTTTGCCAGTAACTCGAAAAATATACAATCAACGAACTGAACTGTCATTCCTTTATGTTCGTGTCTGTGTTAAGGTCTTTCATGATCCTGTGTGTACGTATTTATACTGTATGTCGATTTTATTTTTTCACTTTTTTCAAACCCGGAAAGCCACCCTAAATGTAAGTAGCTATCAATGTTGTTTTATGTTAAATGTGAGAAGTGTTTCATTTTCAACGATTGTTATTGTACATAACTTATTTTGCTTTTATCAAAACCCCTCATTTCAAAATATCTTTTTATTATGTATGTTCTTGTTTTTACTTCAGTGTCCTGAAGATGAAACAATAAAGTTTCGAAACGTTGACATTTGAAAAACTATATCTATATTGTCATATTAAAATATTGTTACATGAATTATTTTCATTTTAGGTGATAACTATTGTTCTGCGAAAAGTGTATCGCTATATAAATTGGAGAAAGTATTTATACCCTTTTTCTATTTTCCATCTACGACAATGATCGATTTAACAGAAAATCCAACTTTTTGAATCGTATCTGATGAAGATCAGGTGCTTCTAGGGAAATTGAAAGGACAAAGAGCAGAATATATGTCTTATTCTTTCATTCACTCAAACCATTGTAACATAGAAAATAGGAAAGGACAAGAGTTCAGCTGTGTCTGAACTTTTATCTAACTAATACCATCCAGCACTGGCGCACTCAGGAATTTCTCTTGGGGGGGGGGGCTCATAGAAGCCAATGAAAATAGTAAAATATATAAATTAGGGTTCAATTCTGGGAAAATGAAAAACAATGATAAACAGAATGATACATATGTAATTTCTATTAAAAAATCATTCTGAAGGTAAAAACATTTTGTGCAAAATCAACAATTCTTAAAAATCTAGTTTCCTTCTTTTAGAAGTCATATTATCTAATATTTCCTCAGGAGACACCGATATATCTTTATGAATAAAAAGTGATGCCAGACCATTCAGCCGGTTTTGCGCAGTAGTACTTCTTAAGTAAGTTTTCAATGTTCTCAATGATGAGATTGACCTTTCAGCCGTACTGGTAGTTATGGAAAGTGTTACAAACATTTTTAGGAGTATATTTATATCAGGATATGAAGTTTGATCACAAACTATGTAGCATTGCATGGCATTTAGTGGCCGGGTATCGATTTCCTTGAACTTATAATTCCATAAACGGAATTCGCTTATCAAAATGGATTCAGTAGATATCATCACATCTTCAAAAAAAGGATATCCATTTTTAAAATGAAAAGCATGTAGTTTTAAAAAATCATTGAGATTTTGTTCTATATTATTTGGATCTGGTAATAATACTTTGAATGTCTTAATAATTTCTTTGTGTATTGAAAATCGTTCCTTCATTTTCATAATGAGAGCATCTAATAATTGTAAATAAATTGTGATTTTGTGATATTCTTCAGGGGTATTAGTAGTTATATTGGATCTATGCTTTTGTCTAGACACAGTTCTGGGTACCGTTATTTCAATCCCAAAATTATTTTTCAAAAGGTCTTGTCCATTCAAGAATATTTGATGAAATCCTGTATCAGCGTCTTCTCTGAGTGATTGCAGCTGAAGAATTACAGTTTCCGCAAAATTGAAAGTACCAGTAAATGTGCCAGGATTGGAAATTTTGACAAGATTGGAAATTTTGCCAGGATTTCAAGAAGGATTGCAAGAATTAGGCAAACCTGATTATTACTCTGTTACGAACGACACTGATATTTGCGAAAAATATTTTTCTGACACTTTGTCTTGGGGGGGGGCTCGAGCCCTAAAGCCCACCCCCTGGGTGCGCCAGTGCCATCCAGTATGACTCTAATGTCAACCACCATGATGCAGCTATACTTCCTCGACGGTGACTCGAAGTACACCCAGCATTATGTCAACGAATTCATTACTAACGTAAACACGCTCCATTGATCAACAATAATGCTCATAAAAAAGCAATTGAGAAGAAACATAATTGTTGAATCGCAATAACTCTACTAACACAAACAAACCGATTGTGTGTGTGTGTGTGTGTTTAGATTAGCCTTTTTTATGGCCACATAGATGGATATTCCACCTCCTGATTAAGCTACAGACAGTATTATTCAGGGTGTTTCTATATATAAAATCCACCGGAATATCTCGTGAACTCATGAGTATGATAGATATTTACGTAGGTAGTTACGTACCGTATTTTTTTTCATTTTGCATGATGAACAATGACCAGCAATTTTACATGAGTTCTACCGATTATGTACACAATTATGTTGACCAGTTGACTTCGCCTGTCACTTTGAATTATCCCTCAAATATGGCCACAAATCAGCGACAAAGTTCACCAGATAGACTGGTTTGATATTTTCATTAGTGAAAAATGGCTTATCCAAGTTAAGATTTTCCAAGTGATATCGAGAAAGCAGCACGAAATGCAATATACTCTTCGTCTATCTATATTTTTATTTCGTAACTGGTGTTGAAACTTCCGTCAGTTTTGAAAACTTTCAAATTGCATCTCGTTTGTGTGGGCGATCTTTCGTGAACTGGTTCATCTTGATGGCTCTGTCTCTGTCACATCCGTGATAGTCTTTGTTATTGTTCTCGAACGTAGGGTCTTTCAGATGATAACACAAATTGTATAATATTATTTGCTATCAATCACTGAACCTCATTTGTCATTTATTTTCTACTCCATTTGATTTCTGAGGGGTTTGCCCACTCATGAATCTATTTGCATTCATTATATTTTTGAGATACGGGGGTGCTTCCATGAAAAATGCGACAAAATTTCATTTTTCCGAACTGAAAATTTTCCAGGGAAAATTTGAATAGTTAGTAAATTGGGCGTCCTGATTCCAAATCTGAAGTGATTTTCGACCTATTTTGACTCCTAATATCATTTTCCGGAAATTGGGGTAGTTTAATGGCTGTTGGCGAGCAGTGTATATCACTGAAGATGACCCCACTTGGTCATAGAGTGCATTTTTGGTATATCTCTCGCTCCAGCAAATTTCAGGATCCTAACCCAACGATTACGTAAGATACAGGGGTGGTTCCATTAGAAGTGGGTCACACTGTATAAACGAATAGCATTTCGCGCACTAGGTACAGAAATATGATTATTCCATTGTGACTCACCTTTGACATAATTTGTTCACCAAACCAACAGTAAATCGCTATTTGGTTCATCACGCAAGCGAAGAAAAGGAAGAATGTGAAACCTTCAGCTAATGTTAGATTTATCTGTTATAAAAAAACAAGGATTAAAGACATAATTGACAAAAGAAAAAAACCAAAATACTCTAACAAAATGATCTCCAAACTGGTCAGATTTTTTGTTTTCCTTCTCAATATAGAAATATTCATGAATGTTTTTATCACTCTCTGTTCCACAGGTTTTCACAATGACTGAGTACAAAAAAAACATGGTGTCGAATTAATATTTACCAAAGAGGAAAATATTTCGTCACTTATTGATGGAATATAAGTAATAATATATTCATATTATGAGACATATATTGAAGTCAATGTACATCTTTCATATATCACCTTGTATCCCTAACAACACAGGGATGTCCTAGGTACGTCCCTTTTTTGTCCCGCGGTACAAGGACATGATTGGGGCATCCAGGGGATGTCGCGCAGTGGTTGTCCAGTGGACATCCCGCCCGGTACATCCCTAGGTTATCCTATTCGTGTCCCTGGAATATCTGATATCCATTCACATCAGAGTCATTGAATTTCATCAAAGTATTAAGTTGTATTTTTTTTAAAATGTTTGGTTTTCTTCCGGAAAATAATCGTAATGAAAATAAAGAATAAAGTTTCAGAACTTACCATTACTCGTAAACAGAAATCGTACATGCATAATGCCCCTCATTTTTAAACACCCAAGAATGATATAATAATTATACCCAAATCCTAACAAAGTTGTATTTATTCAGGTTTCTGTAGTTGAGTCCTGTTTATAAACCTGTTTAGTACATGAATATTCAAAAGGCTCAATAGCCAATGGAGTAAGATGCGTGCCTGATGAGCCAAAGGTCCCGGGTTCAATCCGTACTCGACCTACATTCTTTTTTTCTTTTGTCGAAAGGATGTCCCTGCGATATCCTTGGGACGTCCTAGGGATATCCTTTCTTAGTACTTGGTACATCCCAGGGACGTACCAGAAGGACATCCCTAGGATGCCTCTTTTTGTGGAAAGCGGATGTCCCTGGGACGTCCCTAGTATGTACCATGTCCCGACACAGGATATCCCAGGGATGTCCTCGTAGAAAATGAAGGACGTCCCTGTGACGTCTTTGGGACGTACTCGTGTTGTTAGGGATATAGATGTATGTCAATGAATCAAAATTATAATAGTGAACTGTGAAAAATAAATGTCCAGGTGTTGCTAGGTAGTTATCATGAACAATAACCGAGTGGTTTAGTTGATTTTGAATGTGATACGGTGAAGTATGGAATGAATGTCACAAAGAACAATTTATGATAGGTATATTATCAGAAGTGAAACACATCCAACCAGATTTTCAACAACATACGGCACAAGAAGGAATTCACCAATATTTGTCGACCTCATCACTAACATGCAGACCATAACCATGTAGTATTCCTTGATCAGAAAGGGAAGTGGTGATTTGTGACTTGATTCTATATTCAAAATGTATGATTCATAGTTATCAACATAGTTATCATCGTTGATAACAACTAGATTGATGAATCTAATTGAAAAAATCATAGAATATAGATTCATTTTCCAATTACTCCATATTGGATAATGACCTTTTAACCCTCACCGCATTTTCTGATCGAGGCAACCTTTGGCATCTGCCATTTTATTTTCATATACGATGATGTACGATGTACACAATATACTTACATCTCTTCAGTGTTTATTGATAACATCGATCACGTGAAACATATTAAGTAAGGCATTTTGTGATCAGCATCTTAAGTCGATACAGTCTAACAAGTAACAACCCATATATTTTTCATCATGAGTTGCTTGATAATATTTTGAGTTTATATTTACATGCACTGATATGATTTTTCAACTCAGTCCTAACTTACTTTCAGAATGATTATTCCACAAATACAGTTGATCAGAGCTCCGCTCAATATTATTGTTAATATAACGAACGAAAAACTCTCTTCTATAAGAGAGGTGAACCTGCAAGTCAAGAAATTAATCTCATGATACAATATACAGTGTGACCCACTCGAAAGCGAGAAGTCCCCCCATGAAATTATCATGTGCCATCGAATTTTACAAACTTCCTCCGAATTGAAAAACTGTATTTCAGACTTCAGAACAAAAAACACTGATTAGGAGAATGTTTCGCTTTCAAGTAAACCACAATATTATATCTATATCATAGTTGTCACGATATAATATCATTGTTTTTCGTGGTAAAAGTATACAGGGTGTACCAAAGTTAGCCTACCAAACTTCACCAGCGGCTTTTACGACCAAAAATGGGAAGAAAAGATTCAATGAACATGAGTCGAGAAATGTTTCCTGAGGGAGCTACATTTCTTGAATATTTCCAAGACGCCATGGTCAGGCATCGGATATAACAAGAATTTTTGTTGCTCAAAAACAAATCAAAAGGCTCATTTTTGACCAAAAGTAGTCGCCAGTCATGTAGACAGGTCTTTAAATCAAAGCTGATCCAGTAACATCAATTCATTTGATGAAACTTTACGCATACATTTTCATTAACAAATATTCATTTACTATTAATGGTGATTCACATTCATACAACACTAGAAATGAGAATAATTTCAAACTGAACAAGCCTAAACATTCCTATTACAAAAAATCTGTAACCAATGCAGGCTGCCGTTTTTTCAACTGTCTGCCGAATGAAATCATAAACTGGGGATCCCCGGCTGTTTTCGAGTGTAGACTTGAGGAACTCCTAGTCAGAGAATGCTTTTATACTGTTGAGGAATTCGAAGCCTTATTTTCAATTATTTCAAAATGATACCGAGGTATTTCTCAATTTATGTTAGTCATCACAGTAATTGTTTCATCTTGTCTCACTATTTCATTTCGTCTGCTTATTTATCAATTCCCGAATTACACTGTTCTTACTTTCATAACATGTAACGTTGACGTATCCTACCTATCTTTACCGATAGTTGAGAGGATCAATGGATATTTTATTCATTTTATTTATTCATTTGATGATTCAATTTGGTGAAAATGAAATCATCCAAAAAATGCATTCAGGTTGGACTACATTAAAGAATGCCCATACCATTTTGTATGCAGATTTTCACAGAAGAGAAGTGTTATCATTCCGTATCGATCAAATGAAACGATTCGAAAATATTGATACACTGACATCTCATGCAACGTTGCCAATTCTCGAATTTTAGTGGTCATAAAATAAATCAATTTCTTTTATTTCACAAGAACAATTTCATATGGAGACGCGTAAAATAGGAAATTGATGATAAAAAACAAATTAACTTTTTGGGCATTTTTCAATCGGCGTTTTACTCGAAAATGATATATCTGATCGATACGTAACTGGAGCCCTGTAAATGGTATGTGAATTTTCATAATCCGAGATAAAATGGTAGGAAAATATGCATACAAGAGTGAGCATTATTCAATGTTCTATTATACCCTCAATCAAATATTGAAATTATTTCATTTTCACTGCATTTGGGCATCGACAGTTTAGTTCTTGTACCAAATTTCATCATTTTATCACATAGCGCGTTTTGGAAATATACAAGGAATATCATCTTCAGAAGACCCCTATTATTTGTCGTTAAAGCCGCTGGTGGAGTTTGGCAGGCTAATTTAGGTACACCCTGTATACAAATTCTTAGAAGATGGTGATTTTCGCTTTACTATCCACAATTGTACATAATGGAATTGTTATTAGTAGGTACACACTCACCTCAATATTTCTTTGTGTAGTATAATATTCTTTTTAAAAGTCACTACCAAAAAATCGAAATTCTGATTTTCATAAGGGATATTTTCTAAATTATTTTTCAGAACAGTCAGAGTTGCCGTAGCAATACTCATCATTTTGCAGCACAAAACATCTATCAGTACGTAATTCCAAGTGATCAGCATTGAGAATGATACCTAAAATATGAGAAAAGTATATAATTTCACACATCAGCTTCTCACTTTGAACGGACCCCCCTCTATGTCTTGCGATTCTTATACCAGATTTGGACCCATTTTTGTTTCTTCAGGAATGCACAGCACTGTTCATCATACTGTTCATTTATGAAATACTTATTATGTTGATGGCTATTCATATACCACTCCAAATTTGCTAAGAATAGCACGACTAATATAGGCGAGATATAGAGGGGCGTCTGTTCAAAGTGAGACACGCTGTAGATGCTATATTCCTGAATTCCGATTATCTTGGAAATTGGAATACACTACGGACATTTCTCACCTGGAATATGACATAGTAGAAACAAATCACGTTATTTTCTAAGCTTCCGAACACTTTCAAGGGCAAAAATAATTTTCTCTCGAAGCCACATTTGATTTCCAAAGTATTGGCCACTATGGTGAATGCTATCCCGATTCCCTTGCAAATTGGGAAGAACTTCGAGTTAACAGTTTCCTCGAAAATGTTTTCTTTCGTTACAGAATACTCGCATAAAATCGGACTGGCAAGAATTTCCTCCAGTTTCAGAATGTTTCCTCCGGTTTTGAGGAATGCCATATACTTCCAAACGATGAATGACGTTCCTACCACGTATAGAACGCAACTAGTCAACTCCAATACATCTTGGTTCTCATTACTGAGGTTCAGATAGTAATGGATGACAGCAAAAATGGTAACGAACAGAACTACGGAGGCCCGGAAATAGTGCATCATAGTGGGCTTAGACTGAGGATAGAATCCACTAATCGTCAGTAATCTTGCTTCTGGAGCGATGTATTTCCGCAGATCCATCATCTGAAAAAAATAACGATTTTATATCGTCAAATAATAATATACGAAGCGATTCTGTGGCAAGGACCATAAATCGAAGAATAAATGTTGTCCTGATAATGATTTTCCAAGGAAATATTGGGCGTTTTAGTATCAGCAGACGAAACAGCTTTTTCAATCTTTCCAAAGTAGGCCAATCATCCAGATGTCTTCTGTATACAGGGTGTCCCAATAACGCCGAAAAAATCCAAGGGACGATTGCTTGTGATATTCTAGCAAATAAATATATGTGTCCTAACTTGCTCCGTTTTTGAGATATAGGATGTTCAAGTTGAAAGTAATAATTGTTTTTTTTCTTATACCCATGTATAAGCTTCCATGGTGCCAGAATTCAGTATGGTTGGAGCGTGTATAATCTCTGGTTGGAGACTGTGAATGCACCAAAATTTCAAAATGATTGTAATTAGAGTCATTGAGTAATCTCAATGGTAGTCTTGAAAACGCCTACATTTTATTTGGAGTCAAATCGATTTTTAATTGTTTCCTCAAAAACTAAGCTATTCAGATATATGTTGTTTTTGATTCTAAGATTCAGCAGGCATTGGAAATAAACCGGGTATACAACGGAAGTCCCCATTGTCGTATATTCTGAATGGGCGTGTACACCTTAAACTTTTAACTCAAACCATGTTTATAATGATCCTTTTATACATAAATAATGATTGACGACATAATTCGATCGAAAAATTAACTGGAATGTTTTATTTTTGGACATAAATGATAGTACCTCCTGAAAACAGACCCTCTTATGACGTAGAAACCTCATCTCGCCATAGTTGAAAGAAAATACCAAACGCCCGACGAAGACTGAGGCAACTGATATTTATTTATTTATTTATTTACAATTTTGGCAGCCCAAACAGAAAAAATTAATTTTCCGATTGAAGGGCAGCACAATATCCAAAATTAAATATTTCGATATAATTCACAAAAATGTTATGATATTGAAAATATAAAAAATATAAGTATATGTCTATCAATAGAAATGTTGAAATCTTCACAATTTGAATAGAGAGAGAAAAAAAAAAAAAAAAAAAAAAGAAGTTTTCATTTGAAAATTCAAAATTTTATCCTTACAAGAGAAACACATATTTTTTCATATTATATCTAACTTATATTAGATAATAATAATATCAACTCATTATAGTTCTGAGAGTATTGGAACAAAGACTTTTAATTGCAGATAAGGGTTCATGAAATATATCAACATTACCAAAATATTTATTATATGTGTCAAAAATTTTGGTCACTGGTGCATTATAACTGTAGTTAGTGGAACGGATCTCAAGATGGAAGAAATTTGAATTTCTATAGGAATAATGAGGAATTCTTATAGACATCTGCTGAAGTACATAGGAACTATCTATTCTATTATTTAATACTTTGTGAAGGAATACCACATAAGCCAGTTTTCTGCGATTTTCAAGGGAATCTATTTTGAAAAAAGTTAAATTATTTTGGTAGGTATTCCCAAACCGTTCTCTGTTGAATTTATATATCAAAAAATTCATGAACTTCTTCTGAACTCTTTCAATCCTCAGAATGTACTTTAGGTAATATGGGTTCCAAATCACTGTCAAATATTCGAGATGACTCCGAACCAGTGAAAAGTATAGAATTTTCATAGTATTAATATTAGTAAAGTTTCTTGTTGTACGGATTAAGAATCCTAGGTTTCTATAAGCTTTCTGGACAATATGCTCAATGTGATATTCAAAAGTTAATTTAACATCCAGATAAATACCTAAGTCTTTCACCCTCTGTACAATTTGCAAGGGAGCGTCGCTTATTTTATATATATATCTTAAAATGACGTTTTTTCTTGAGAAATGTATCGCGCAACATTTATTTACATTTAAGTCTAATCTATTCACGAAACAGAATTCTACAAGTTTATTTATATCCAATTGCAGAAGTTCTTGATCCGATTCATTATTAATAATTTTATACATTTTTAAATCATCCGCATATAAAGAGTACTCAGAATTTTCAAAACAATCACCAATGTCGTTTACAAAGATTGAGAATAGTAAGGGGCCTAGATGGGACCCTTGTGGGACTCCGGACGTCACAAATATTGGTTCAGAGAGAGAATTGTTGATTTTTACAACTTGACTTCTGTTTTCTAAGTATGAGGCAATCCACCTAAGCAGACTTCCGTGCACACCAAAATTCTCCAACTTGACCAACAGAGTTTTGTGATGGACCCTGTCGAACGCCTTGGAGAAGTCGGTGTACACAGAATCTACTTGTTTACCTTCATTCATATAGTTGATTAGGGACTGTACAAAAGGAAGGAGATTCGTAAGAGCGGATCTTCCTTTGAAAAAGCCATGTTGCACCGAAGAGAGCCTATGTTTGCATTTAAAAAATAATTCATCAGTTATAATCGCCTCAAAAACTTTGCCCAAAATACTCATGAGAGAAATGCCTCTATAATTTTCGATCGAGGTTTTTTTTCCATTTTTGAAAATCGGCACAACATTAGCAATTTTCCATGTCTCAGGAAAGCAACCGCACTTCAATGATTCATTATAAATATGAAACAGAGGTACCACCAACTCTTCACAACAAGATTTAATGAAAAACGCAGGTATGTGGTCTGGTCCCCCACTTTTATCAGTGCTAAGGTGTTTCAGCTTGTCCAGAATTTGTTTTTCAGATATATTATTTATTACTATACTTTCAACACCTTCCATAGTTGAATGAATTAGACAGGCGGCAGTATCAGAGACATAAACCGAAGAAAAAAAATTCGCAAAAGCGTCACATATGTCTTTTTCATCAGAAACCTTATTGTTTTGATAAGTCATTTCGGATGGCATTTTCTTGAATTTACTTTTATTGGCTATAAATGTCCAAATTTTTTTAGGATTATCCTGAATAGTTGATTCTGTATTTCTCAAGTAAGTATCATAATCTTCTTTCAACTTCGATTTGAGTTGTTTCCTGAGACCTGAAAAGGTGTTATAATCAAGCGGATTGCGATACTTTTTCCACCTTTTATGAAATTTTATTTTTTCGCCTATGATTTTTTTAGTGTTTCGGGAAAACCATGGGGGATATTTTCTATTAATGTTTCTCACCTGAATATATTCCTCAATCAATTTGTTGATTTCTATATAAAAAATATCCACCATTTGATTGACACCACATCCCGAAAATTTTTGTTTCCAATCTATTATCCTGATTCTATTTTTAATTTCTTCATAATTTGCCCTTCTAAATAATTGTACTTGATGCCCTTGTTTCTTATTGAAATTCAAGGATGGAATTTCCACTAAAAATTCTAAGGCTGGGTGGTATCCATCTTCATTAACAAATGGCATATCACATCTCTTATTAAACACAGACTCAGCATTGGAGAAGCATAAATCTAGAATTTTTCCATTTATATTGGATATACCATTGAACTGTTTGAACCCCAAAAAGCTAAAAGTGTCCAAGATTAATTCCGATGACCCATTCAGCGCTTGGCCGAAGTAATATTTCAGATTTTCGTCAAAATTCCACTCAATCTCAGGCATGTTATAATCTCCCAGGACCAAAAAAATATCATTGACATTATTTGATAATATTTCACTCACCCTATCTAGATGAGATTTCACATTATTTTCTGAAGCATAAGGAGGCACATATGTACAACACAAGTTGACTACCTTATTATTATCTAACACTATTTTCACCCACAAATTTTCACAAATACCAGGATTGGACCATTCTTCCATAACAGAGGACTTGAAAGTACTCCTCACAGCAATGACGACACCGCCGCCATCCTTCTTTCCGCTGATTAGTGGATCTCGATCTTTTCTATACACAATGTATTCATCAGAAAACAGCTCTGAATCATGAATATTTTCTTTCAGCCATGACTCTGTTATGAATATGATATCGAACGTACCCTGCACGACTGATAAATAAAAGTCATCTAGTTTAGTTCTAAGACCACGAACATTTTGGTAGAAAACACTGAGTCCCATAAAAACACAAAAGTAGAATTCGCAACGAAAATTATACAAAATGTTTATACCAGAAAGTGAAGTACTATGTTTGAATTTTATTTAAATCGTTCTCTTCTTGTATGAGAGTAGTCTTGGAAGTAGTGGTATTTCTCACATAAATTTTACAGTCTCTTGTCCAATAATATAAGAAATGTTTACCTCTACAATATTCTCTTACATTTTTGAACAAATCTTTGTTCATTTTGGTTAGATGTTCATTTAGGTAGATTTTACTGGATGGAATGTAGCGAGGGTCAAGATCTGTTGATTCAATTAATTTTCTCTTACGGATTGCAGCTAAAACTTCATCCTTGTATTGATGACGAGAGAATTTTACGATGACATTCCGTGGTTTTTTATTTGCCAAATTGAAATGAGCTATCCTATGACATCCATCAATAGAATCTCTGTTGATATTGCATCCCAGAACTTGCATCAACTTCTCAATGATTTCTATTAAATTTTCATCTTTAATTTCTGGCAATCCACTAATTTCAACATTATTAATCCTCGAGTATTGTTGTAGGTTTCCAATTTCTCTCATAAGCTTATTATTATCATCTTGCAAATTTTTAATTTGACTTTTTGCACCTTTTATATCTTTGAAATCATTTTCAAAATCTTTCATCTTGACTGTGAATTCGTCAATTTTATCACTGCAAAAATTAACGAATTTCAGAACATCATCGTGAGATGTCTTTAAATCAGTAATGTTTTGTTCAATTTTATCCAGCTTATCAAGTTTTTTCAAAATCATATTGAAACTCTCATTACTGCTTCCATCAGTATTCCCATTAGAAGCAACCTCGGAATTAGAGCAGCTTGGGCATCTCCATGGAATCCCTGGTATCGATAAAATTTTTTCGGCATCGGCTGATAAATTAGAACATTTAGCGTGCAAGGATTTCTTGCACACCATACAGATGAACTTCGGACCTCTTTGGGGTCGACCACCGAGGTCAACACACACCGAGCAATATTCAGACATCTGGGCGCACAAAAAACTTGGGTATCTTCCGAAAAAGTACACACAGTTTTTGTGGCAAATGAATATCGATATTCGAATAATTCCAATTGCACGAGATGGTTTATTAAAAATGTTTTTCACTATGATTCACTGAGAATTTCAGTCCAGTTTTTTCACTGTATCAAGAATGTCACTAGATACTATATCTGAGAAAATTTCACTTCGTTTCCTTCACTTTTACCTATGTTTAATGGCATTAAACACGGACACGATGTGATATACGTGTGATCTGTGAACGATACCGATAACTTATATTAATTCTTTCAACTGTGATCTCGCGCTAATTCACTCTGTCAGAAATCATGTATCATTCATCTCTGTCTGGAATAATCTTGTTTCAGTATTAGGGTTTTGACGTCTCATCATCGTCTCGTTTTCAGAGGACCGAAAAATCGGGGATTTCAATAATTTTTTATAAAACGTAGGGAGCTCACAGCAAGAAACGGTTTGCGGTGGTGAGCTAGTTTGGGCGAGTTCTATCGAGTTATGAAATAAATTTTTTTTGTGATATAAGCCCATTGTTGGTTTTAATTTTTCATCACTCTTTCTGTTCACAAGACTAAATTGCTGCAATAATGGAAACTTGTCATGTTCTGATATAAGGCCTCATAAATACAATGATGAAATCAGTCTTCCAGATTAACTGATGTGTATTCGTATTCGGGACAGTCTTTATTTTCATTCAATATCAATCACATGTGTAGCTTCAATGGGCATTATTTATTGCAATAGGTATTGGAAGCTGAAATAATAAAATCATGAAAGAGGAGGCAATAAAATGAGATAATTTTTTCACGAGTAATTTCATCTTGTAGCAGTTATGGATCTTATAGGAACAGAAAAATCTAAAACATTTCATCAGAAAATGTTTGTGGCACAAATAGAGTCATAATATGATCGCGAAATCTATGCCACATGGGCTCACAACTTGCGAGTACGGAAATGGTGAACCCGAGGTACCCTAGCCGGATATTCACCAAACTTCAACTTGTCTTGGGTGATATCCTCTTCTCTCGTTTTAATTCAATCTATCCTTACGGCCTTCCTTGGCCAACTCCTCTTCTCATCTTCCCAAGAACAACCTCACCATCAAGTGGTGTGGGGAGGACAGACCGCGACCGCTCGACAGATGAAGCATTTTGGGCCATATTTGCTATCTCCGGACCAGATAGGACAATTATTTGTGGATATTTGTCTAGATAGACAAGGACTGGTCAACGAGGCTCTGGCAAGCTAATCCAAGCTGTGGGAACCCCCCTTTTGGTCATCTTTGAAGTCGAGAACAGGGATCGGAAGAGTAATCTTCAGGAACCTGAGCACCATGAGTCGTACATGGTGAAATTGATAACGGCATATAGGTAATGGGCCACTAGGCCTAACTGTTGTCGGAGACATCAGTGAGACGAGCCTACAAACGGGGTGGAGTGTTTAGGGGGATTAACCCAAAAAAAAGCCACAGGGTGTTTTCAATGTGCTTGAGATTAATTCAATGTATGCTTATTTCAGAACCAGAATACAGAGGAAATCAGAGTTATTGTCTAAGCTATGTCGAAAGATGTTATGAATGGAACATATTAGTGTGGTCTAGGTAGAACATAATTGAGTTTGCTAGGCGATATAACAACGGAAAAGAAGTGGACTTTGATGAAAAAATTCAAAACTTGGAAACTTAAGAATGCTTCCTAACAAAGATATAGGGTGACAGAGTTTCAACACCTCGAACGAGTTATCGATGGACTGCGTTAGGTGTAATGTGTTCTCCATGAAGATTATTGGAAGCCATATTCTATTCACAGCCTTTACAGAACCTTATAAGTTTTTGCCCCTTTTGAAACCCTTCAAATTCAGATAAGTAACAATAAAAAAGCCATTCATCAAAATTTTCCAAGAATATTTTTATTTCTCCAATTGAACAAGGAATCTGAAAATTTGATTTTTTTGTGAAATATCCTATATGACTCCGACGATTATAAAAGGGAGAAGGAGATGCCGTCCACATCAACTACTCCACTGGAGAATTACTCAAAGATGTGATTAATTAGTCTGTGTGCGTAATTTGATCGACATGGGTCCAGTGGTTTTGAAGTTATGACGTGAAATCCAATTTTTGCCCAGAACTTTGAGATTCTGTATCTTTGTTAGGAAGAAATTATGATCAAAGTTTCTTCACGTAAGTACTGACTTTTTGTTGTTCTATCGCCTATCGAAATCGATAACGTTTTACCTGAACCCACCCTGTGAAATCACCTAATACTTCATGCATTCCCCAGTTTCATGAATTTGACCATTAAGTATACTAACATATTCTTTCGTGATATTTGGACGGAGATTTGGTTCATAGTGACCAAATTGTGATAACTTTGAAATGTTTTGGATGATACGAAGGGCTATCATATTTGCTGGTACGGTCCCCTATATATACAATTACTCCAAAATGTTTGAACTTTTACATCATTAATTATCGAAATCTGTAGAGAATGGAAATAAGTCTATAATAACGAGAGAACCTACATTGTTTCCTATACAATGAACTTCAACAATTAATCATTCTCCTTTCGATTCTTTGTGCAATATAATATGAAATAAGATTGGAACATTTCTGTTAAAACAATGGGTATCAGTTGAGTTTATGAATGTGGACTCCCCTTTACTTTCCTCCAAAAATTTTCAATACTGGTGCTTCGTGTCTTTTCATGCACATTTCACATAATGTTCACAGCTGTTCTGGTATATACAGGGTGTGCCAAAGCTCTTGAACCACATCAGATATCTGACAAGAAAGTATTAGATTATCGTTAATATATGGAATCAAGTGCATTTAAATACTGAAACCAAACCGAATCAATGTTTTGTCAAATTTAATAACCACCATCATTCTTGTTCAATTCAGAATATCTGAAATAACTGCTTTCATACTTGCTATAAAGGGTGTCCGGTAGGTCAAGTCGTAAATGATAGGGAAACTATCGATATATCCATAACTATCGATTTATCGATATATGGAACTTATCGAAATGCTTCGAGTTATGATATGTGAAAACCCTCAGATACAAATTTTGAATAGAATCGGATCATAATTACAAAGCTCGTCAGCCATATTGGATCCGCCATCTTGAATTTTCAAATTATTTCTTCCATAAGAACCTTCACCTGACAATAACAAACAAAACAAGTGGAGAACAGCCGTTCACGCGTAATAGCGTGACCAAGGTAATAGGGATTCATTTTTATATATAGCGATTTTAACGTCAGTATACTCCCCAAAAACTCAACAGAATCACTTTTTCTCACTAGTCACTCTCTGAACACTCAAATGAGTGCTGAAAAGTGAACTTTTTCGCATTTTGACATCTATTTCGCAATATAATTTTATCAAGATATGGAAACTTCAGCGATATTATATGCTTTAACCTTTAACCAAATGCATCATCGATAATTCAGGATTTCATGTTCACATTTTCTTGTCCCCGCCGCTGTAACTTTTAACATAATATAAGACTCATTATGGAACATCTAATAACGAACATTTTCATTCCTCCAAAATTTGTTCGAATAATTTCGTCGTTGGGTTAACCTCAAAATTTTTTTGATGAATAAGCATTTGTTCGTACGCGTTTTTCAATGTCATTAAATTGGTATATCCATTAGGGCGCCATCCCTTATTAGTAATTATCGAAAGATTATAGAATCTCCCCACTGTTTTTAGGCCATGAGCGTTGCCATGAGTGTATTTTACGCCTCAAGTATTGGGAGGATTATTTAGCGAACTCAGATTTAGCAAGCTGGTACGCTCATTTAGTTCTCACTAATATTTAATTGAGAACTCACAATAAATATTGTTCATGAAAAAGATGGATGAAACTTTCATGGGATAAGCAGAAATGACATATGTTGGTGACATTCAAAAATCAGAGTTAGGAATAGTTCCTATAACTACTTGACAAAAGGATCATTTATTTTAATTTTCTTGCATCGCCCTTGATCTGATGTATCTGGCAATACTCTCCTAATTTTTCTTCCGTGTGAGATAGCCTATATATGTATCTTCAAACCTACAGAAAGCTCTATACACTCTGTATGTAGTAGGTTGTCCAAAATGTTCATCTTACCGCCGCTGTATCTCTTTCTCTCATTATAGAACATCAAATAAGGATCATCCTCATTCCTCCAAATTTTGTTCGAATGATTGTGTCGTTGGGTTAACCTCAGAGAGTTATTGGTGAATGAGCATCTGTTCGTACCATGGACGTCCATGGATCGTACCTTTTCAACGTCATAAAATCGGTATAATCATTAGGGTGCCGTCCCTTATTAGTAAATATTATAGAATCTCTCCAATGTTTTTTGCCATGAGCATTGCCATGAGTATTTTACGCCTCAATTATTGACAGGATTATTCAGCGAACTCATCAGAATCAGCAAGCTGGTACGCTCATTTAGTTCTCACTAATATTTAATTGAGAACTCACAATACATATTATTCATGAAATAGTTGGATGAAACTTTCATGAGATAGACAAAAACAACATATGTTGGTGATATGAGTTCGGAATAGTTCCTTACTATTTGACAAAAGGGTCATTTATTTAATATTTCTTGCGTAGCCTTTGATCCTATATATTTGCCATTATTCTCCTAATTTTTCTTCCGTGTGGTATAACCTATGTGTATCTTCAAACCTACAGAAAGCTCAGAACACACTGTATAGAGTAGGTTGTCTATTATCGGGATACCATGATGGCATGATGATTATTTTATTCAATCGTCTCTTGATATGCTTATGCACAGTTTTTTAAGATATGTTGCTTGGTAGCAATTCTCATGATCTATCTTCATGGAATCATAAAAGCTACTTGTGATGAACAGATGAACCCACTCACTTGAGATATGTTCAGCTCTTGTCTTATTTATTGAAGAGGTAAAACTTTGAAGCAGGGACTTTTGGTATTCTGGACTGTGAA